TCCACAGTGCCAAGGGCCGGAAGCCGGGAATGCTCTGCTTCCCTGCCCTTGCGGTGGCAATGTGGGTTTTCTGCATCCCTGGAGAGCCCTTTCTAAACCGCGACAGGCTCCAAAGCACCTCTCCAAACAGAGTGTTGTTTCTATGCTGTCATTGGGAAGGTCAGACTTGCCCATAAGCAGCTAACAAAGGTGGGAAGAGGCTCATTGAATCCTGAGGGCTCAGCCTGTAGAGACTAAAATCATTCCCGGCGTTTTGATGTAGGAAGTTCAGGGGGGAGAGAACAAAAATAAAGTGAGATGAGAGGGAATGAACATGATCAAATTTGAATTCCCTTGTTCTCACTGGCTTCATTCTTTGTTTGGACGTGAATGTGAAATTGAGGTGACTGTCAAACTGATGTGAATTCCCAATCCCATGTAACTCCACAGCAACCTGCTGCTGCTTCCAGGAGGAACCTGCCTTGACCCTTTGCTGTGCGTACTTGTGGCAAAGTGTCTCTATGAAGCATTTACGAGCATTGCTAGCAAAGGAGAACCCTTCCCTTTCTTCTAAGCCATGCCAAACTTGCCTGGCCTTGTGCCTACATCCAAATATACAATTAATAGTGGGGCTGAGACCTTTAATTTGAATGGATCAAAAGGTTTGGAGGAAGCAGCTGCTGGGCCTGACAGTTGTGAAGGCTTTACCTGTGCAGTGAAGTGCAGCCCCGGGGACAGGTAAAGGAGCCAGGGCACTTAATCTGCTTTTGAAGCCACCATCTAAGAGTATTGATCCTGACAACGTGACCTTTACAGGGCGACTCCCCTTCTCCAAAGCATTTCAGGAGTGCATTTCCCAGGCCTTGAATGCTGCTTATAGGTGACCTTCTAACCCAGCCTTACCAGGAGTTCTCTGCCTGGAGGCTGTGGAGGGCTGCAGCAGATGTTGGTAGCAATCACCTGACTTGCTAAAAGCCACTGGGCCCCCTGCAGATACACAGGTCTTTGTGGCCTCCTCATCACACCTGACAAAGGATTCCTAAAAGCTGGATATCCCGCTACCCACACAGAGAAAGCTGGTACGTCCATGATCAGTTCAAAGGGTTCCTGACCAGGAAAGGAGAGAAAATCATTCCCTGCAGCATAATGCTGGTGTGAGGCTCAGGTGAGAGCAGGGCAGGGGAGAGCTGAGCATCTGGCACGTGATGGGCTTCCCCTCCAAAGCCCCTGTACTGACTGAAGAATCAGGGCTGCCTCTGGCAAGATTAATCCATGTTCTTGGACCTGACATATGCGCAAGGTTTTAAATACGAGGGGGTCAGAAGTGTGGCCCAAAGCTGACCCGTGTGCTTCCCATGAAAGAAGGAGCATCCTTACAGCACAAAACAGAGCCCTGCAAGGACAACTGAGCTAGCATCAGCTGAAACTGGTCATAGGATCATAGAATCAACAAGGCTGGAAAAGACCTTTAGGATCATCAAGTCCAACCATTACTCCAGCACTGCCCAGACCACCACTAACCCACGGCACACATCCACGTTCTGTGGAGACGTAACAGCTTTAGCCCTGCAGCAATCTCACTGTGCTCAGCACAGGAGGTCATAAGCTCAGAGTAATGGTCTTGTGGTGTGGTTCAAGTGGGTTTTATCAGCTTAGATGCAGAGCTTTCTGGAGCTAGGGTGCTTCTGCATCCGGGTTGGATTCACACGATGCTGGATTATGCATCAATAAGTAAAACCTAAAGCTTTGCAGTTATCACGCTCCATTTTAACAGCTCCTTGACAGTGACCTCCGCCTGGTACCCGGATGACCAAACCTGTGTGTAAAGAGATGTCTGGCATCCAGGATCAGGAGCAGCTCCCTCCCTGTTGCAGCCTCCCTTTTGTGCATGCAGAGGTGCTGCTTACCCTTGCCATTGATTTTGATCTTCATGGGGATCTGCCGCGCCATGCTGAAGAGGTTGCGCTGAAGAGCCTGCTGCACAAGCCGCTGCTCCTCCTCGCTCATCCGGGACACCTTCTTCTCCGGAGGCTCTCCCGACTCCAGCCTCTCCCTCAGCTGCTCTAGGGTGGCTGTTCTTGCTGCCACAGTTGCCTGCTGGCTCGCCAAGGTCACTGGCACAGCAATACGATTTGGCATAGACACCGTCAAGGGCACACCGTCACCTAGGAAAGGGAATCACAGAATGGTTTGGGTTGGAAGAGACTCATCCAGCTCCAACCCCCTGCCACGGGCAGGGGCACCTTCCACTAGAGCAGGTTGCTCCAAGACCCTGTGTCCCGCCTGGCCTTGAACACTGCCAGGGATGGGGCAGCCACAGCTTCTCTGGGCACCCTGTGCCAGCGCCTCAGCACCCTCACAGGGAAGAACTTCTTCCCTGTATCTAACCTGAACTTCCCCTGTTTCAGTTTGAACCCATCACCCCTTGTCCTATTGCTCCAGCCCCTGATGAAGAGTCCCTCTCCAGCAGCCTTGTAGCCCCCTTCAGATAGTAGAAGCTGCTCTGAGGTCTCCACACAGCTTCTCTCCTCCAGGCTGAACAGCCCCAATGTTCTCAGCCTGCCTTAGTCCCCCCACAGCCCTTCCTAAAGCCAGGTTGAAACCACAGGCAAACCCTGAGCCATCCAAGTCCTACTATTCTCAAGTCCAAAGTCATCTGGGTGGACAAAGCAAGAACCAACCGTGTTCCAGCACCGGCACCTCTGAACCAGCCCCCTCTCCGCTGTGGAAGTCACTGACCTTTCCTGACAGCCGCTGCTGGAGACACCCGAGGGTTGCTGGTCCCGCTGCCGGGCGCGACGCCGATGATGGGGAAGCGGATCTTGGGGGGAGACAGGAGGGAAGGAGGCCCCGTGGTGGTGGGTGAGTAGCTGAACAGAGAGGAGCTGTAGCTGGGCCGCCTGCCTTCCCGCCTGTTGCCATCGATTGCAGCCTGAAGCTCAGCAGGAGAACTGAGGGATTTCTTCTCGCATTCGTAGGCATAGAGGTACTTCATGTACCTGGGGAGAGGGGAGCACAGGGGAACTCAACAGGCCATGGAGTTACTCAGGAAGGCTTTCAGACTGAGGTCCTCCACAGATCTGGAGTCTTTGTGTGCATATCTTGACCACTGCTGTGCTTGGTTTGATAAGGACTGAGCAGGCTGGGTGCGGAGCACAGCTCAAAGGAACTTTGAGTTTACTCAGTGTCTATAGGAAAGCACCTACTTACAAACTACTACACCACAAGGGTAGAAAAGAATCATCCAGAATTCCTTTACAACTGAGATACCATCTAAAATTAGAAGAATTAAGCTCTTGGACCAGAACATTTAATGCAAGGAGGGAAGTCTGAGGAATTTCCCTTGTCATTTGTCCTGGCCAGCACCAAACCTCACTGCTCTCACCAAATTCCAGCACACGCATTTGGAGAACAGCTTGTTTGTACCAGAGCCTGTAGGAATGGCAACAGAGGCTCTAAGAACCTCCAAGAAAACAGAGTTTGCACTAGAGCTGGGGTGAATTCCCAAAGCCCAGCCTTCCATGCTTCAGTCACTAAAGCACAGCTTCACCCTGTTGCTTTTACAGTGGGTTTACTTTCACCATTCTTCTTCCTCTACTTATTCTACTTTCTTGCCTCCTCAGTGTGAGGTACTGCAGGTCAGGAAGCAATCCCCACAGTAAGTAGGTGCTAACTCCAAGCTTCCACGCCGCAGTAGTGATAACAGACATTAAATGATCAAGTTCACACTTGATGCCTACAGCTCAGGAGGCCTCTCTCTCCCTTCCCTCCTCGCCGTGTCAGTGCTCTCTCCAGAGACACAGCAAGACCCTCCTTGCCCTCAGGAGATTAAGCTCAGATGAGGCAGGGAAGGTACAGAGTAGAATTTAACCTTTAACATCTCCACCCCAGTCCCTGCTCTGCCCTCCCCAGTCCCCCCTGGGTGTTCACATCCGTGCTGTTGGACCTTCAGGACTCACTGGGTTCGAAGCGTGAAGGCGGCACTGGTGATGGAGGTGGGCAAATTAAGGCCTTTGGTGATCTCTCGCCAGATCTTCTTGTTGATGATTTCCACCAGCCCTCCTTTCTCAGTCACCAGCTTATAGAGCATGTAGAGATCCAGGATCTGCTTTGCCATGATGGGGATCCGATTGATGGGAGTTCCTGCAGGGAAACAGCGGGGAAGGAAACACAGAGTCAAGAGAGAAAATGAGGCCAAGAAAAGCAGCAGGTTGGAGCTATCGATCTTCTTCCTAATAGGAAATTGAGGCAACTCTGTTTGTAGCCTGACTTGAGGCCTCTTGATGGGTGAGTAAATGAGCCAGAGAAGTGTAGCTACATGGCACGTCCTTTCCATGACAAATCCTTTCCTGTAGGCAAAAGCAATTATCGGACAAATAATAACCTGCAGCTAAGAGCAACTTCTAAAATAGAAAGAGGGGAAGTGGGGACTATTCAATCCTGGGGGTGCGGGAGCAACACAGAGGAATCGTGTTTTATGAGCTCCCAGGGCAATCTCAGATACAGATCTGCATTGCTCATGCTCAGGAAGGAGCTGAACAGCTACTCACATACTGGGATTCAACTCCCTCAATTCCCAGGATTTGCTATCCTGCATCCAGACGTGCACCATGGCATAACCCTGGAGTTCTGCAACCCAACTACTCCTGGAGCAGTGATTCCTTGTGAGAAGGCTGGAGCAACCATGGGATGGTGGAGGTGCGCACATGAGCAGGGTAAGGGAGCATCACACGTGGCAGATGCAGGAGAAGCACCGGACATCCAAGCATGTTTTAGAGCCCAGAACAAGGTCCTGCTCTATCCTTCCGAGGAGAAACAGGGCAGAGAGGGAGATAACTTTATCCTTGTGGTTCAATTTTGTCATCTTGTGGGTTAAGAGAGGGAAGAAAATCTGATTTTTAAGTTGATAGGGCCCTTTTAGCAGCACCTTCAAGTGATAAAGCGTGTAGGGTTTGAAAAGGTCAAACTAATGAGATTTAGGCAAGCAAAGGAAGAGAGGGAAAAACTGCTGATGTAGCAAACCTTTTCTTCTGCATAGGAAACACTGTCCTGGATCAAAGAGCCGTCCATCTGAGGTCAGTATCCTGCCTACCACAATGCTCAGCACCAGCCCTTACAGGAAAGCCTGGGAAGCGCCGTAATGGACAATTATGGAATCCCCAACCCACAGGGGAGACTTCTGCCAGCGCTCAGCAGCCAGCGGCTCGGTTAATGCCCCGAAGCAGAGCAGTTTATGGCCCTTATAAATGGGGTTTATTCTGTTGAGTGAAAAGGAGTTCAGCTCGGCTCTGCAGATGTCCTCATTATACATGGAAGTGTAATTTTTCCCCCCCTTCTCGTTTCTTTTTGAAGCCTGTTATGCATTAGCTCATGGTACCAATTCCCACCGGTTAACGGGAGGCTGGGTAGGAAAAGGAAACTTCTCCAGCTTTAAAAGGGCTGCCTTCAGTTTCACCTAGTTGCTAACTCTTAGGCTGTAAGAAAACACTAAGCACAACCTGATGGTTGGTCTGCATGCTGTCAGTTTACATCTTTCATATCCTCTTTTCCTTGCCTTGTCTAAACAACCCCTTCCTTGGCCACAAAGCACTAATTCCACAAAGTGCATCAGATCCTCTTCCTGCATTTCAGAGATGACAGTTCCCTCCAGGAACTGAGATAGAGATGTTGGAACTGGATGAGCTTTAAGGCCCTTTCCAACCCAAACCATCCTACGACTCTATGATTCCCAAACTCCCTGCAGCTCTCCCAGCTGTGCCACTCCAGGACCCGGTCCTTCCCAAAAGGAATAACGCTCAGCTTGCCCCCAGCCACCATTTTGTCTCAGTGTGTTATTGCAGGAGCACACCAAGAGAGTCATTTCAGCTCGCCCAGGGCTGGGAGTGCTCGTGTTACCAGCCTGGAGTTATCATTCATCAGCTGAGCCCCGTAACCAGAGTCACACCCAGGCATTGCGAGTGAAGAGCAGGGAAATGCTTCCCTCCCAGGTCTCTAGGAAGAGCCAGGGGTGGGTTTTCCCACCCTAAAATGCCCCTTCCTTGACAGCTCAGCATTCCCAACCCCAGCAGCACAGAAAGCTGGGGTGTCCCAAGCAACATCTTGCTCCGCTGGGCAGGATCAAGACCCTCTCCCTGACTCCTCCAACAAACCCCGTGCTGCTCAAAGCCACCCGCTTCTCCCCAATCCAATTTAGGGAATAGCATTAACTTGCCCAGAAGGGACTTTCATCCAGCTCTCCTTGGACAGTGACCAGATGGAGAGCGAAAGGGAAGGGTCATGGATAAGGCTCCTCAGGCTAAAAAGCTGCTAATACAGAACTATAAGGAAATAATCTACTTTGTAATACCCTGTAATTCTCCTAAACACAGTTTTACTCTTCTCTAGATACTCCCATCTCAGCAGTTGAAAAGGTACCCGTGGATATTTCTCCAAATGCTCCTGTGAAAGGCACAAACATTATCTACACCAATGGGAAATAAAGTCTTAAATGTGTTTCTGCTCCTAGCCTGGAGTGGGAACAGGGTCAGCTCTGCCCTCCTCACCTCACATTACTACCCCTTTGACACCTTCCCTTCCCGAAGCGTGCTTTTAAACAAGCCCCACAGACCAAAGTGCCCTGAAATTTCATTAGTAGCTTTATAAACTAAGCTAAAACCTAAAGCTCCCCCCCCTCCCGCCCATAAAATGTCTTTATGCAGGCTGAGAAACTTTACAACAGCGAGCAAGCTGCTTCCATCCCTCTACCACTTGAGCAAGGAGCTGGAATCATTTTCCTCCTGTGTTTTCTCATAGTACCAAACCAAGTAGTATCCCCCTGAGCTGGGTTTTGGACCTGCTCCTTTTCAGAGCAAGGTGGAAATGCGTATGTTTCATAGGATCTGAGTGCTAAAGAGTGGAGGAGCACAGGAAAGCTGCTCCCATTCCCTTCTCCACCCCCAGTCCCTGGCTGAGGAAAGGCAAAGCGATAAAGTCTTTATTGGAAACCCCCAGTGCTCCAACAGGAAAGCTGAAAAACGAGTACCATGGGAGGACTGGATGCTGAAGCCGAGCGAATCCTTTCACAGGCGGCTGCAAGGCTTGTCAGGGGCCATGATGGATTACTGTCATCTGGCAGCATCAGGATTAATGATGTGGAGGTCAGAGGGGAGAATTCCAGAGGGAAAGGTCAGCAGCCGGGGGCACAGCATAAGACTTGTTGCCTTTTGATGGCAAACTCATTTTACTGTACTTCCAAGTCTCTCTATTCTGCCGGCTCTCAAATGCTGCACTTACTGTGCTTGCAAAGATCTAAAGCCTAACTCAGGAAGAGGGTGAGGAAGATGACTGGCTCCTCTCCTGGTTTTCCTGGTCTCTTCCACAGCTACACAAGTACAGGCCATTCCCATAAGGAATCAGCCAAAGGGGGTCACAAGGAGTCTGTTTGCACTGGAAAGGGGATGATTGAGCACAGGAGACCTCAGGAAGACAAACTCTAGGGCAGGGAAACTCTGGAAGGAAAAGGAAGAAGCATCCCATTGCCCATGGGCTCTTGGTTTTCCAAAGGGAAAGACAGCTCTAACTACAATAGCGGATTCTGGAGTAAGGAGTTTTCCTGGAGGAAGCCTGACTGCAGCTATAAACATTCTGTCCTCCCAGGGAATAAGCAGCCCCCTCTGCCAAGCTGTTTCACCCCATCCAAGAGCCTCTTGTTTCAGGCAGATGTTAACAGAAGGTTTCTAGGGACAGGCTTGAATATCCCCTATGTCCCCTGTGCTGGAGAGGAGCAACTGTTTGATTTCCCTCCTTCAAGGGCTGTTTAAGAAGGGCCTGAGGAAGCTGCAAGGCCATCAAATCAACAAAACCTGCCCCTAAGACTGTTCTTAGCCAAATTATAGAAGATGATTGATGAAAATGAAAATGCAAGTCCCCTGCAAGGGCCACTCTGTGCTCTGCTCCCCTCATGCTGAGCCATGCCCACTGCAGGGAGTTCCCCACATCAAGCAGTCTAAGCCACGACTTGTCCTGCACTCGAGACAAAGAGCAGTTAATTATACCCAGCCCGGAGCAGTACTTTTTCAATCACCTCCCTTTTTTTCCCCCCCTATCCAATTTACTTTCAGAAATGGCCATTTTTTAGTAAGGAACAAAGGAGGTGAGAATTCCAAGCATTTATTCTGCAGAGCCACACTTGCATCGCAATAAAGGACGCTCTGGAGTGAAAAATAGGCAGAGAGGGGGCATTCTGAAGCCACAACCTGTACAGGTAAGGAAAGAGCTGCTCTTTCCTCCTTTCACTCCAAATATGTTCAGAAGAGAAGCAATTATCAGCCAGCCAAAAGGAACAACTTTTCCCCAGGAGCCTGGGGAAGGCCACAGTGACTGAAAATGTATTTGAACCAACTCTTGAAGAGATCTTCATGTTTCTTTGAAGGGAGACAGTGTCACTGCTTGGTAGGAATGCTCTCCTCACTCTCCCAGCCTTGACAGAGGTAAACGCGGTTCAAATGCAAGCAAATCGACTTGAACCCTGCATTACCTCAGCTCTTGGTGTGCTTGAATTCCTCTCCAAGGACAAACCCTGGCTGGCTTCATGCAGAGCCGCCTCTTCAGCCACCCCAGCTTTAGCTGTTGGGTTGACTTGATGGTAAAGTAAAAAGCAAAGGTCTCCAGAAATGAAACCACTTCTTCCGTCTTCCTCCTTGTGGTGCCACAGCTGATGTAATCTCCCCCTACGCATGGCACTTCCCCAGCAGGCATCCTCACCTCCCAACAGGAATGTCACCACCTGATCCACAAGCCTGCAGACCATTAGACACTCCTATCAAAGCAGGAGCCAGGCTAGAGGGTAATTAATCATGCTCTATTTGACAGGAGGCCTACTTCTTATCTGCACCCCTTGAAACGCCATCAGTTGCTGCTTCCCTCCTCGATAAATGAGGCTGACAGCAGCCTCTGATCAGATTTCAGCTGCTGAACGAGAGGCAGCCGAGCTGGCATCCCCCGTCTTGCGTTAGCCAAGCCTCCAGCCACACTAACCTTCCCAAAGTGGGTTCTTCTCCATCCCCAAACCAGACATCCCACACAGATTTCCAACTCAACTACAGCTGTCTGGCTGCCTCTGACACAGCCCAGCCCAATGTATTTGCTGTTATGAACTACTTCTG